GCCCGCCCCGCCCCTCCTCCTCCTCCGCTCCTCCCCCTGCTCCTCCTCCTCCTCCTCCTCCTCCTCCTGCTCCTCCTCCTCCTCCTCCTCCCTCCTCCTCTCCTCCTCCTCCTCCTCCTCCTCCTCCTCCTCCTCCCCTCCTCCTCCTCCTCTCCTCCTCCTCCTCCTCCTCCTTCTCCTCCTCCTCCTCCTGCCTCCTGCCTCCTCCTCCTCCTCCTCCTCATCCTCCTCCTCCTCCGCAGCCATCGATCCTCGGTTCATGTGCTGCGTGCGCCGCCCCGCGTGGTGCCTCATTCCCTTCACCTCAGTGCATCACGGGCACTCCCCCGCGGCGGGCGCCACCCGGCGCTGACCCGCGCGTTGGAGCGTGGCCACCTGCTTATAAGGCCGTCTCCGACGAGCAGGTGTCAGGAGGGGAACAAACACACAGACACAATGAATCTTCGATTCCCCAGAAAATATAGGAAAATACAGGAAGTGGGGGGGAAGACGAGAACCCAGAAAATAAAAGAAAATATGGGGAATCTGGTTATTTGTGTGTATTTATTTGTGTGTCCCAGGGCCCCTTCAAGGTGGGTCGCTGCTCTGGTGTTGCTCGCGGCCGGCGCCAGGACCATGAGCGAGTCCTTGGAGCTCCACGCGAAGCACGACGTGGCCACAGGCTTTCCTCATCACTCGGCGAGGAGGGCGCGTCGCTTTCGCGGCGCCTGCGGAGGCCGCCCCGTCCGAACGGAGCATCCCGACGAACGTCCACGAGAAGGCCAACCGCGTGAAACACGAGATTGGGAAGCTCGCCCTGGCACACGAGGCGGCCCTCTTGTCCGCCTCGACCACATTCCCCTTGCATCCACACCGCTGTGTGGATGGGCTTCAGCAAAGCTCTGGGACGAACGAATCAATCGGCGCGGGCCCATGCAAGCGACGCCCGCCGTGATCTCGCCACGCATTGTAGCGCAAGGCAATCAACGGGGACATAACATAACAACTTCACTTGAACATGGAGCGCGGCCGTCGCCCCGTTGCACCTTTCATGTGTGCGTTGGCGCACGAAGTGCCGGAGTGGGTCCGCAGTTCGCAACCAACCCATATTTCGACGCTGGGGGTGTCTGGCGGTTACAGGGCAGACAATAGTCATTGACATGTTTGTCGCCGGACGGCTTAACTTACGTTGGGAAGAGCGTTCCGCGGCTGTTAAACGGACTGAAGTGCGGGAGCGCTCGGCGTCGTGATCGTCGAGCGCTCAGCGTCGTGATCGTCGTTGACCAAACAATATATTCACCTGGCCGAAAGGGGGGGGGGCGGGGGGGCCATCTTACGAATGGCATCGTTGGCCCCCGGGCGCCCTTGACAGACTGCCTTGCTGCTACCATCGCCAGGGCGGTGCGCCTCAACGGCAAAGATCATCATTTCAGTGATGTCGTATTTTCTGGCCCGTCGGCAGGCCTGTTTGCGGGGCTCGCTATAGAAGCCCGAGACGACTGCGTGGTGCATGCGCGGCAGAGATGGACGCGCAGTGTTGCGATAAGGGGAATGCTGGCCGAAGTCATTCCCTCCTTTCCCTTCTCGTTTCCCTTCTCGTTTCCCTCCCCCTCCTCACCCGGCGTTTCCCTCCCCCTTCTCGTTTCCCTTCTCGTTTCCCTCCCCCTTCTCGTTTCCCTCCAGCGTGCTCCCCTCCTTTCCCTTCTCGTTTCCCTCCCCCTCCTCACCCCGCCTGGCGATTGCCCGCGGCTTGAGGGTTGGCACGGCCCAGACAGGCCATTGTGGCGGGCCCCTGTCAGGAGGGGAAAAAACGCACAGACGCAAGTAATCGTCGATCCCCAGGAAAATATGAAAAATATGGGCAGTGGGGGGGGGGAAGACAAAAACCCAGAAAATATATAAAAAATAAGGGGAATATGTTTATTTGTGTGTATTTATTTGTGTGTCCTGGGGCCCCTTTACCCTGGGCTCTCCCCCACCCCACGAATATCGCTTCCCTTGGCGACGATGGCAGCAGGGTGATCTGGCAGGCGGGGTCTTGGGGACCAGCGAGGCCACATGGAACATAGAGCCCGCCATCCCCCTCCCTTACCCCTCTACCCCCATGACGGCCCCCAGTTCTCCTTTGTCCCCCCCCTCTCCGAGCAATCTTCAGCCGAAAAAGCTGGCAGCCCTCCGCTGTCAGAGAATGAGGGGCTGGGCCTCATCCCGCTTCTACTGGACCTGGACGCGGCGTCGCGCGACCAGCGAAAGCGCCCGAGATGGCCCAATGTCCTCCCAATGTTGCGAATCGTTTCCCAAGTTCGGGGGCGACGTCGGGAATTTCCCCCTCCCCCAGCGTCCCCAGGAGAGGATGGCGAGTCTGGCCGCTTAAACCCACATCAGTTTTTCAGGACCGAGGTCGCGCAACCTGCCTCTTCTGCCCGCCCCCCGCGGACAAACCATCCAAACATATGATCACACATATTGCCCGAGACGTACCCAACCTCTTCTCCACGCGGGGCGAATATTTGCATGAACGTTTTGTACATCATAACACATAGCCAGAGAGGCAATATCTCAAGTTCTGCGCTGCCCTCATTTCCGCCGTGTCGTCCATAAGCCTGCGAATCTGGCAACGCATGCGCATGTCGTAGCCTCCCATGGGGCCGCGAGGTCATGACCGGACCTGCGTGGCCCCCGACTCCGTTGGACCTCCCGGTGGCCCACGAAAGTGGTGACAGCTGCGCGGTTCGCAGCCACGCAAGGAGCTGCGGGGTCTCAAATGGGCGCACGTGGCCCGGGATTCCCTCGAACCTCCCAGCAGCCCTACGGAAATTTGAGAGTTCTGCAGCTCGGAGCAACCCAGGGCGTTGCGAGGTCCCGCTTGGGTGCGCGTGGCACCCGACTCCGCTGGACCTCCCAGGAGCCAAATGATACCAGATGCGCAGATCGCAGCCACTCTGGGAGCAGCGAGGTCCACAAGGTGCGCGTATTCCCCGACCCCGCAGTGCCTCCCAGGAGCCCGCGAGCGTGGCGCCAGTTGCGCAGCTCGCAGTCCCCAAAGGAGTTGCCAGGTCCCGCTTGGGTCCGCGTACTCAACTATTTCTAAGTGTTTCCCAGGCGCCCACGGAAGGAACGACAGTTGAGGATTTCGCAGTCCCCCAAGGAGCTGCGAGGTCCTGCCTGGATGCGTACTCCCCGAGCCCGTTGTACCTCCCAGGAGCTTACGAAAGAGGCGACAGTTGCGCAGTCCGCAGCTACCTAGGGAGGTGCGAGGTCCCGCCTGGGTCCGCGGACTCCGCTACTCCGCCGTGCCGCCCAGGAACCCACGAACATGGCGACAGCTGCGCAGTTCGCAGCCACCCAGGGAGATGCGAGCTCCCGCCTGGGTCCGCGTACTCCGCTACTCCGCAGTACCTCCCAGGAGCCCATGAGAGCGGCGCCAGTTGCGCAGTTCTCAACAATCCAAGGAGTTGCGAGATCCCGCCTGAATCCGCGTACTCCGCGACTCCGCCGTGCCTCTCAGGGGGCCACGGACGTAACGACAGAGTTCGCAGTCCCCCAAGGAGCTGCGAGGTCCCGCCTGGGCCCGCGAACTCCACCACCCCGCAGTACCTCCCAGGAGCCCATGAGAGCGGCGCCAGTTGCGCAGTTCTCAACAATCCAAGGAGTTGCGAGATCCCGCCTGAATCCGCGTACTCCGCGACTCCGCCGTGCCTCTCAGGGGGCCACGGACGTAACGACAGAGTTCGCAGTCCCCCAAGGAGCTGCGAGGTCCCGCCTGGGCCCGCGAACTCCACCACCCCGCTGTGCATCCCAGGAGCCCACGGAAGTGGCAACAGTTGCGTAGTTCGCAGCCACCCAGGGAGCAGCCAGGTCCCGTTTGGGAGCACGTGGCCCCCGACTCGGCTGGACCTCCCAGGAGCCCACGAAAGTGGTGAAAGTTGCGCAGTTCGCAGACACGAGGAGCTGCGAGGTCCCGCCTGGACCCGCGCACTTCCCGAGCCCGTTGTACCTCCCAGGAGCCCGCGGAAGTAACGACAGTTGCGCAGTTCGCAGCCACCCAGGGAGATGCGAGGTCCCGCCTGGGTCCGCGTTTCTGCTACTGCGCTGTGCCTCCCAGGATCCCACGGAAGTGGCAACAGTTGCGCAGTTCGCAGCCACCCAGGGAGCAGCGCAGGAGGAGGCATGATGCGCGGGGGGGAAGGAGGAGGGAAGGTGGTGTCAACGATTTGTTGTTCAAAACGAGAACCCAGCACAGGAGGGTTGGGAACAACCTCAGCGCACCAAATGCGACTAACATATGTACACATGCCAATGTTGTAAGTTGCGTACGTTCCTGGCTACAGAACCACAACAACAGCGCTACGCAATTATCCTGTGAAGGATGCATGGCATGTCACATGCCAGTTGGGTCAATCTGCTATTCCTGTTGCAAAACTCAAACTCGTTATTCCTGGATACAAGCCACGTAGTGTGACAATAGTGGCAGATCTGTGCAGCCCACCAGGCTGTGAATTGGCTAATCTTGCTCAGCCTCGGTGGATGCACCAGGAGGGTCCCTCTCGCGGCCCGCATGCCCTTAGGGCCCCTCGGGGCCCCTCTCGGTACGATCGAACTGGGTACGGGAAAGATAGGGACGACGACCGCCAGCAGTTCCTGCCCGTTTTGAGCAGGTTCCGTCGGTGTCGTCGCGGCTGGGCCCAGCCCGCCTCCCGCTTCCCCCCCCTCCCCAGGCTGAGGGACCCTCGGGGGCCCATAGGCCCCCAAGGGCCCCTCGGAGTTCCTCTCGGCACGATCGACATGGATACGGAAAGAATGGGGACGAAGGCCGACAGCAGTTCCTGCCCGTTTGGGGCAGGAATTTGCTGTCGGTGTTGCCGCGGACGATGTCCACTTGAGACACGGGCGCCTGCCCAACAGCTCCCACTGTCGGAGTTGACAACATACGTTGTTGGGCATTCAACCCGTTTTGTCTTTACCCATTTCGGGCGTGCCATTTTTCAGGGGCCCTCGCCTTAGAGCCGGCTGGGGGGCCG